GCGGCGGGGCCGGGCGGGCGGGCGGGCGGGCGCCCTGCTTCCCCGCCGTGCCTCACGTTCGCTCCGCAGGGGACGAGGTGCTGGCCGGGCGCAGCACGCTGCGCCTGCCCGCCGCCGCCCTGCAGCACCTCACGCGCCTCTTCGAGCAGCACCTGGGCTCGCGCAACCAGGGCCGCGGCTTCGTGGCGCTGCCCTCGCACCCCGCCGACTCGGCCGCGCTGCTGCAGGCGCAGTTCCTCTTCGACGTGCTGCAGAAGACCCGCTCGCTCAAGGTGCGCCGCGGCCGCCGCGGGCACGGCGCCGTTGGGGAGGCTCCGGGAGAGGCGGAACCGCGGGTGGCTCCTGCTGTGGGGCTGCGCGGGGCGGGACCGGGCCTGGGGCTCCGCCGCGGGGGAGCGGGGAGGAAACGGGCCTGCAAGGGGGCAGGGAAGGAGCTCTGGTAATGCCCTTACAGTTACATACGTTCCCCTATGTTATATTTCCCAGTTCTTGGCTCGCGGGCACTGAGGACGCGCTGTGGCAGAGTTCTCGGTTCCTGGTGCTGCAGTGCCTTTTGCAGCGTTTTCACAAGACAGAGCTCCTTATTCCAACGTTGCCGGGAGGCTTTTTAGAGCAGTGGGGTGAGGCTGGAGGTGAGCAGAGGCCCCAGGGGCTGCCCGGGCCCTGTAGCCTCCGCAGCTGCCCGGGCAGGGCCAGGAGAGCCCGGGCAGGAGGATGGTGCAGCCCCTGGTCTGTTAGGAGCCCCGTTTGCAGGCTCCTCCTATAACAAGCCCTGAAGGAAAGGGAAGCTGCCGTTAGCCCCACAGCAACAGATCCGCCTGGAGAAACTGACCCTTTTTATTGGCCAGCCCGGCTTCTAAAAACGGCGCAGGGAGAAGATAGAAGGTGATTAAATTGCCAGGACGCAAATGAAGGATGGCGCTGTAATAAACTTTGCCAAAGCCGATGGCTGGAGCTCTTTGTGGCCACAAATGGCCCTGCTGGATGCGCTGCATTAGCGCTGGCAGGCGCCGGTGCCGTGATTCATCACGGCCGGGCTGCGGGGGCTGTGATGGTGATGAGGCCTCCGGATTATGTTCTGCACCTGATGAGTCACTGCTCCGGGAGCCCAGATGGAGCTGGCAGGGGTGGCCTCGCCGCTTGTTCCCTGGTGGCTGCGATAGCAGCGTTAACCACTCCATCCGTCACTCTGAAGTGCTGTTTATGCAACAACTGTAGAAAGCATAAAAAAGACGGGTTTAAAATGAACACGGCCTCGCTCTCCTGTGGTGAGAGAGGCTGCAGCTCTACTGCAGAGTGCAGGGAGTGAGTTGCAGCTTCTCACGTTAGCAGTGACCTGGCGGCCGGCTATTTCCCCTTGTATTTGCTTGCGATTTGCCTTATCCAGCCTGCCCTAGTGATAGGGCTGTGCACACCTCCCACCAGCTTGCTCGTTCAGCTCAGCTGTTTGGCAAACACAGCTCTAGCTGTGAGATGTTTCGCTGCGTCGTAGCTTTGGTGGCGGTGGCTGATGGGGAATTCAGCTGTCAGACCTCCCTGTGCACTGAAACCACAGGCTTCTGGTGAAGCCATATGGGCAGGGGAGAAGAAATGGAGCTGTATGTCTGACAGTGCTGGCTCTTGTGCCAGTTAATACAGTTGTTCTTTAACTTGAGCTTCAGGGCAATGAGGCAGTGCTGGTGCCAGCAGGTGTGGGGTGAACACCAGAGGTGTAGGGGCCTGTATATGATGCTGCAAGATAGCAGCACTACAGCACAAATTGAGACTTATGCAAGGTTTCTTTCCCTGTTTCTGTAGCTTGTTCATGATCCAAACTGTGTTTTGCAATCTGCTGTGAAGATCTTCCCTTTCAAGTCCCTTCGGCATTTGGAAGTAAGTAGGGGAGGTGAAGCTGGCTTGGAGCCTTGCTGTGTGGCTGCTCCTGCCACAGCTCGGTGCCTGCAGACACCTCTGCTCTTGACAGGCAGCTTCTGTGGTCTTCCTAGAAGGCTAAGTCCAAGCTTCTGCAACCTTTGCTTTGAGCCAAGCCTGGATATGAACAAGGGGTGGAATGGAAGGGCTGCCTGCTGCAGCAGGGAGACGGGTGATCGCTTGCAGAGATGGGCAGCTGTTCTTACATGGCAATATTCTCACACATGTTCTCCTTGTTTCCTTATCACTGCTGCAGTTGAAGTCTGTCCCTCCTCACTGCCTTCGGGGACTGCGATTAGTCTATTCACAGCTGGAATCTCTAACCTGCTGCAAGTGCATCAGTACCTTGGAGGTGAGTGAGGTCTCTTAGAGCCCACGGGGAAAACTGTCTCGATCCTACAACCCGTCAAGCAGGGAAGATGTGGGAGATGACACTGTTTTATCAGTTGATGCAGCGTATGGCTTCCCCTCTCCCTGCTCTGGGGTCCTACTCATGACTCACTGCTGAAATATCCCTCCTTAGCTCCACAGCTGTGCTCTGATGCTCTCACTCTTTCAAAGGTGCTTAAGATTTTCTGACTTTTACCAATGTTTGCATGACTTATTGTTCAGTGTGTGAGGCCATTTCCCTATTCAAAGATCTGCAGCCAATCAAGGTTTATTTGGTTGCAGCTCTTTAATTAGATTTGATAGAGGAACGCTGTTCCCCCATGTCCTGTCTGCACTGGTTCTCAGTGGGGTTTTGAGATGTGAACGCAAGCTCTGGCTGTGGAGACCTGCATGATGGGTCCCTGCTGGGCTCTGGGCACAGCAGCTGCTGCCTGCTGGGGAAGATGGTCCTCTGGCACGGAGTGCTGTGTGGTATCCCCTGTCTGCCAGAGCTGACCAGTGCATGGGTATCTGCTGCTTTGTCCGTGCTTTGAGGAAGGTCTCGAACAGATTTTGTAATAATGAATTTTTGTGCTTAAAATTCAGAGTTTACCAATAGTAACATGTTAGAATAACTGTTGGCACTTGAGTAGAAAGTGCAAAAGCAGCTCCTTTCTAAATATTTAGCTGTGTTGCTCTCACCACATCCAAATACTTGACTCTAGTGACTTAAATGTTGTTCTTTGTGAAGACAAGACAGGAGACATAAGGTACAAAATGCCAGCCTTGTTCTCACTAGCTGTTCTCTGTTCTTCATCTGCTCTTGCTGTAACAGCCAGTACTCATCAAGGAGTGGCTCTTTGCTTCTTCCTAGGAAATCATTTCAGCATGTGGTGGAGATCTGAGCTGTGCTCTCCCCTGGTTGGAACTGCAGGCTGTCAACTTCAGCCATAACTCGATCACTGCCTTGGATGACTCACTGGTGAGTGGAGCAGAATGCATGAGAGCAGATGATCATGGCCAGGAACTGGGTGCTCTTCTATTGATGCTGATGGGTTTGGGTGAGAGGGGACAGCATGCATTTTCATGGCTTCTCCCAGAAGGATAGGCCTCCCATGCTGCAGTAGAGACTCTTGTGGGCTCTGATCTTGTCTCTTTTTTTTCCTTCAGCAATTACTGAACGTGTTGAGAGTCTTAAACTTGAGTCACAACAAGGTCCAGGACTGTGAGCACTACCTAACAGTAAGTATTTGAGGCTGAGCCCCAGAATGGGGGTATGGAGAGCATGCTACCGAATGGGTCTATAGCTGCGTGCCTGCTAGCTGTGGTGTGGCCTGCTAGGTGAGGTGTGCCCATGTGTGGAGCGTGGAGAGAAAGGAAGGGGCTAGTGCCCTGCCTGTGTTCAGGATCAGCAGAGTTTGAGCTAAGGCCTCAATTGATCTGGTGCTGCTCTTCTCTCCGAACAGACCCTTACAGAACTAGAATACCTCAATCTGGCCTACAACTTCCTGTCAAAGGTGCCAAACCTTGGCATCTTCAGCAGATCCAAGCTGGTGACTCTCATCCTGCGCAGCAATGAACTTGACAGCATTAATGGTGAGCCCGAGGGGGAGGAGTGCTTCCCGTGGGAGGGCTTCCCCTCTTCCAGGAGGAACCCAGCTTGAAAACTTGGGTGCAGCTATTCTTGCTAGCCTTGGGGCGAGGGGCAGGGAGAAGGTTCCTAGGTTATATCTTCTGGCATGCTGATGGCTTCTTGCTTTGTTTGCAGGGGTGGAACAGCTAGTAAATCTGCAGCACCTGGATGTGGCCTATAACCTGCTACTGGAACATGCCCACTTGGCACCACTGTCCACTTTGCACTGTTTAAAAAAGGTATGTGAAAACTAGTGGGTTGGAAGGTGGAGGCTTTGCCACTGTTGCTGGTAAATATTTCTGTATTTTCCTCACCCAGCTGTACTTGGAGGGAAACCCATTATGGTTCCATCAAAACCACCGATCTGCAACACTCGTGCATGTGTCTCCCAGGGCAGCCTCCTCCAGTGTGAGTATTGGCGAAATGCCTTCCACTCCCGGGGTTGAAGAATTATGGTCTTCTGAAGCACATGGGGAAATAATGGGAAAGTGTCTTGGATTCAGCTTTCAAAAATGAGGGCTCAGTAGTTCACACTTAAATTTGAGTAAGGTGTTGGCCAGGGCAGGCAGAGCCCAGTATTGACTCTTTATTTGACTTGTAAACAAGACCTCAAGTTTTAATCCTCCCTGTCTACTTCAATAGTTTTGTTTACTGATTGTCCCCAGACTTTTTTTCCTGACAGATAGTGACTATTTAACTGGGCTTTGCAATCAAGTAACTCGCTGACTCAGTCCACCTTGCCTAATTACATACTGCTTTGGCAGGGGTGACCACCTCCTTTTCTCTGCTCATCATTTTGCTCTGAGCCAGATATTTTTACTGTTTTCCTTGCATTCTGTGTTGAAATTAGACTTTGGTGGCCTGCTTTGAAATAAATGTGTCCAAAATAAAGTGTTTAGCAAATAAAAGTGCTTGTTGATGGGTGAGAGGTGCTGCAGCACTGGAGTGCCCTTCGCGTTAGCAGCAAATGTCTAGATTCATCGTCATCAAACTGTATCTTGAAGCAAGGCTTTGCTGAGGTTTTATTTTTGTGTTGTTTAGTACTTTCTTTCCTTAACCTGCAAAATCATATTCTAATCAACCTTTGAATACTTCATAAGTTAGCAAAGAGCTCTTATGCCCATCTGCTATGAAACCCAGTGTCCAGGGGAGGAAGTAGATTACTTTTCCTAGTTGTTAGGAAAGATTCCCTTCAGGACTGCTCCATGCTCTGTGGCCAAATCTACCTTAGTGTGAGATTTCAGATTTTTATCTAATTGTTCTTGGGGAGCAATAAGGGAGACTTCTTCAATTTAAGAGCTGACATAGGAGCAGTGTGCTGTTTATAGCACTTTCAGTCTGGCAAGCAGGGGCTTGCTGAGCTCCAGTAACTGGGAGCTAGGTGGAGTTAAGGCTAAAATTAAGATGTAAGCTTTGAGGTGGAGATGAGTAGTTCCCAAAATAATTCACAAAGTACTGCACTAGGATTTCTGTCATCACTTAAGCAAATTGCCCTAGAAAAGTTTCTGAGACTCCTGCAGTCTGTAAACAGGAAAATCACAACGGTCCCTCCTGGCCTTGTGTGCTCTTAAGTCAGGTAGCTACAACTGAAGGAGTGATGGATAGGCAGGAATAGGGTTTCTTCTGGTCATCCCTGCAGTCTTGTACAAGGACTGTGTGCCAAAGAGCCCCCCTGGGATGGGCTCAAGGGGAACAGGAGTGTGTAGGTGCTGTCCTGGATAAGTGTTAACCAGATAGAATCTGACTGCAATGGGTCTCTAATTACAGTTCCTGTTGGATGGAGAGCCACTGTCTTCGTCGGACCTAATGGTAAGTACAGTGCTGTAAAGTGCTTTGTGGCTGGGAAGTCTGACAGGTTTCCTCATCCTCATGTGTCCAACTTGATCTGTATTGGCTCACTAGCCTTTTTGAAGCAAGTCTTTTTGGCTCAGTTGGTGCTGATTCCTAGTAATTGTTGGGACTGACCATTAGCTTGTTCTGTGCTATGAACTGCTGCAGAATTTGGAGCCCTGCCTGTTTCCCATTCAGGTACTATTTGGCACTTAATGCTTGAATTACATATCAGCAAAACAAACAGTTGTCATTTCCCTACATGTTATTTTTAAGAAAGGCATAGACTGAGTTAAATTGGAGCAGTTGTGACAAGCAATTGACAAGCAGGCAGGACTTGTCACCACTTCTGTTGAGGTGGACGATATTTGGGATGATGAGCAGGGAAGTTCTCAGCCCAAGTTGTGGCTTGTTTACTTGGCATCACCTTCATGCTCACAGGCAACATTCTCTTCCTTTGGCCTAGCACCTTCCAAAGCTTGTGCACAGCGTGTCACAGTCGATCCACACTTCTACCTCAGAGAAGACTGCACTGGAGCGCAGTGCTCTGGAGAGCTCCTGTGCCGCAGACCTCAGCGACAGCCAGTCTCCAGCAGAGAACGTGACTGTCAGGCTCCCTCGGAAGAAATGCAAGGTTTGGGATTCCCATCACCTCTTAACTTCACATCTGACCTGCTGGGAGAGGAAGACGGCTGTCTGATAAAGTCCTGTGCTGTGCGGTGTTGTCTAGTATTGACTGGGTGGTACTGGGCCTCTGTGCTGGGGTGTGCTAGGCAGGGGCTTAACTTAAAGTCTGTCTTGAGCCTCTGTAACAGATGTTTTGAGAGATGTTTTTGCACTGAAGCAGCCAGGAATCATGCACCTTTCTGCCTGGCAGAACCTGTATCAGATACTGTTCTTGTTTTTTTTATTTTTCTGATGCCTCCCAACTATTCCTATCCTGTTGTTTCCAGGGAAAAGTTAAAGTGCGCAGAGCGAGCATTTCAGAGCCCAGTGACACAGATCATGAGTCCCAGGCTTTATCCCTGTCTGCTGGTGAGGCTTGTCTTCTTCCTCATGAACACAGCAGCTGAAGAGCCCACAGTCAGGGGTGTGTGCTCTGGCACGGTCACTGTCTCCCTACTTCCAAGCTTTTCTCTGTGCAGGCCTCGTCTTGCAGCATCAGAAGGAGATAAAGCGTATGGACAGCTTCAGAGACCGCTTTGGTGTTGACTGGCTGCAGTACAAGAAGCACATGGAGCAGCGTGACCAGATTCCTGTCATCTCCCATAGCCATTCTGCGGATGAGATCACAGACAGACCTGCTGCAGTGGACTTGCTGAATGAGAGCTTTGACCCAGGGCAAGAAAAACCTCAAGTGTTGCAGAAGGAATCCTCTCCACCTTTGGATGATGCTGGAAAGGATGATGCTGGGAAGGAAGAAGAGCCCGACCTACAGGTGGATGTGCCTGTGAGAGCAGAACAAAGAGAAGAGGAGGCAGATGAGCTAATGTTTGGGGAGGAGGAGGAAGAGAAGCCAGAAGGTAAGTGGGTTGTTTTACTGATGTACTTAAGGGTTTGACTGAGAATAGAGGGATCAAATGTAGTATCCCTGAAGTTTCATCATACTGCACAGTTTTGTGAGGCTTTTGAGGACTTTAGTCAAGTAGACACTGAGACCTTTGCTAAGGGATGGGGAATCATTGGGAGACCTCAGTCTAGGCTGAAGCCACTTTTTCTGCCTTGGCTGCTCTGCTTCTGCCACCTCCTTAACACTCGGGTATGGCTGCCTCTGTGCTGGCGTTTTGCAAGAGGAAGAAACCCTGCAGTCTTTATCCCTTGCATCCCTCTTGCAGCTGAAACGGGGATGGCTTTACAGTGCTTCCTGTGGCAGGGAAGGGAGGGAGCAGGGAGCACAGGACTTGTCAACTCCTGGAGAACCTGCAGTGCTGCCTTCATTTAATGCTGTTTCTGAGTACAGTTGCTCTGCAGCTTTACACCTAGTGTCTGTGTGTATCTGTGTGTTGCCCTAAGTCACAGTCTGCCTTTGAGGAGTGGGTGGAAGTAATGATCCCGAGGGAGAGAGAGGTTGGGCCAGAAGGCCTGCTGTGTGCCCTGACCTCTGCTTGTCTTGCTTGGCAGTGGACCTTTGCCAGCCAGTGCTGGTGAGCCAAATAGAAAGTGAAGGCCACCCAGAGCCAGACTGGATCTTCCTTCGGGTCACAGCTAGGCATGTGATTGAAGTGGAGCTGAAGGCTGCCAGGGTCCTCCACAAGCTGGAACTGAAGTGCCTGCGGAAAGTGGAGACCTCTGAGATGACCTGGAAGAGGGCGGTGAGTTATGCCTCTGTGTGGGCCTTGGGCATGTTATTCCCCTATGAACCAGCATTCTGCACGTGGGCTTCTGCCACTGAGTGCCCAGTAGGAATTTTTTTCTACTTCCTGTAAAGCCTGATTTGAGTCTCTTTGACTACATGCATGTGTATTGCTTAGGATGCCTGTGAGAATGCAGTAGAAATCAGCACCAGTTTTATTCCAAATCTGCATTTGAAAGAACTATGGCTGGACTTGTTCCAGCTTGTGGGACTTCCCGAGTGGAGCCTAAATCAAGTGAAGGCACCTCCTTCTCATCCCTTCCTCCATGGGATATTCCTGCCTTGGAGGGATCTCTGTGGACTCAACCTTTTCTTCCTCAGTGCAGCACTGAGGTTAGCTCATCTGTGACCCTTGGAAAGCTGCCGCCTGCGCTATCACTCGCCCTCCATCTGCTCTAGGTGTTTGCTTTGGAACTACTGATCCTGATCTGCTTGTGTGCTTTTTGGAAAGGGAATTTAGAAACCACTTTTCTCATGGTAGGATTTAAAGAATATGCTCAATGTGTGCATGAACTTGATCACAGGTTTCTCTAAAACATTTTTTTCCCAAAAGCTCCAATTCATTTTTCTTCCTGCCCTTGTACATCTTTAAAGCTTGTGGCATGCTGTTCTTCTGAAATACCTTCTTGACAAGGTATGAGACACATTCTTCTGAGCTGTAAAGCTTATAGTTGTCTTCAGCACTTCACGCTTCCTCCCCTACAATCCCACTTTACCAAGCTCCTCAATGCCATCAAGGTCTTTCTGGGAGGACTTTTCAAGGTTTACAAAGTGCCAGTGCTCTGGCCATATTTTCAACAATTGCACACAATTATGGTCTGTGTCTTGGGCAATGTGCTGTCTTCCTGGAGCTGCTGTTTTTTGTCTCTTGCAGGACCTGGAACGAGTATTCCCTGTTCTCACCTTACGCTTCAGCTACATTCGCAAGGACCGGCAGCAGCGCAAATACGTGGTGCTTGATGACTGCCCCGAGCAGTGTCTGCAGGTGGGGAGGCTAATGGGGGAAGCATGGGGAGGAGAGCAGTGTTTTTGCAAAGTCATTGGATTCTTGTAGCCAGCAGAACTGCTCTTCTCGGGGCACGTGTGCATCTGGCCTCCCCTTCCCAGCTGGGCAGCTCATGCCTAGACTGCGTTCTCAGGGTTTCTCCTGCTGTGCAGATGACCTGTGGAGGGCTCCATGAGCACGGCCACGGGCAGTGGAGCTTCTGAAGTATAAAACGTGCTCTCGGGAAGAAAGCTTTGTAGTTTTTCCATTAGGGAAAGAGGAACTAAGCTGTAGTAGTAAAGCTTAGTCTTGCACATGTAGGGTGTATTTCCTGGGTGCTGTATGGTGCTCTGGCCTGTGTTGAGCCCTCTAGCAGCTGTGCAAAATGCAGATAATCTTGCTGCTTATAGTGATTCTGCTGTCAAATCCAAGTATTTTTCTTGAGGCGCTGTTGCCTACACATAGTTAAGCAAACTGCTACAGAGAAATTGCAAGCAGATGGGAAACCTGAGGCCTATAAATATTTAGGTGCAGGACACAACTTGCAAAAGGTTTGTTTTTGCAGTCAAGTTCAGTGCCTTTGGCAAGTTGCTTTCACAGACTAGCTGTTGTGTCCTGCTGCTTTGGGCTATGGTCCTGCACCCTGAAATGCTGTGAGGAGACGTGAAAAGACCTACTGATGTCAGAGACTGCCTTTATTGGGACAGTTGCAGTCTGCCTGCTAGCACTCTTTTCCTCTGTGCTGCTGCTTCTAGAGTGTGCTTGAAGTGTTGATGCCAGCTCTGGAGGAGAATCAAAGAAACCAGGACCAAGAGAAGGCACTTGCAAAGCTCCAGTGCCTGAAATGCAAGCAGGAATTCTTCCAGTCCCTGGCTCCCTGGCAGCAAGGTTTATGTTCTACAGACGCTGGAGATGCTGGCAGACTGGAGACCCTAGCTGCCTCAGATCGAGGTAGGACATAGTCCCCACAAAAGGATGCCTGATGCCCAGAGAGGCCTCCTCTGACAGCTAGAGTGCAGAGTATGGCTTATATAGGGGTGGGTAAAGCCTTGGTTGCACTGGAATTGAAATGTGTTGTGGGGTGCAGTCTGACTTGGCACAACTGGATTGGTCCTGGGTATCGGGGAAGAGGTGCTCGCTGCCTGCGTGCCAGCAGAAAAAAAGCTGCTGTTTTACTGTTTAAACAACCAGTACCCCAATGTGGATGGCCCCAGCTCTGGGAGAAGGTAGTAGTGCTGGAGAATGGTAGCTGGTCCACAGATCCTTGGTGTAGGAGAGGCCTTAAAGTAATCGCTTGCTCTACGTAAAGCGTGGTCAGTCCAGCTGACCTTTGCTGATGGAGGTTTAAGGGCAATCTACCTCCACTATTTCAGATAAAACTTTGGCTGTTAGTCATCAGAAAAGTGCTGCCCTAGCTGAAGTCTCCCTGACCATAATCTTAAGCCTATTTCTACCTTTCCTATGGAGATTTTTTTTCCTTTTTTTTTTTGTACTCTAGAGCTGTTGCTCTCCCACCCACTCCCCCAGTCTTGACATCTCTCTTCTAGACTAAATAAGCTGAAGTCCCTAGATAATTTCCTTGTCAGTCATATCTTTTACAATCCAGTTATTCTTGCTAGTCTCCTTTATACTGCTTCCCATTAGTCCATATTTTCCTTTGGGTGTCTGAAACCAGATGCAGTATTTTGGCTGAGATATCACCAGTGCTGATTAGGCATCCTTTGATAACTGAGTTTCTGAGAGTTTCTCTGGGTTTAAAGGTGGAGAATGCCCAGCCTTAGCTTGGGATGCTGTTTCAATGAAGTAACCTGGGGTTGGAGGACTCTGCAGTGAGCGTAGAAGGTGCTGTCCTGTCTACAGCACTATGTTCTTCCCCAGGGCACTTTCCTCCCCCAGGGTAGTAGAAGTCCCAAGCTCAGAGTGTAGTGTGGAGTGAGTGAATGTTGGGAAGGAGGGTCAGCAGCTCCTGTCTGTTTTGAAAGGGAGGGCTTGTGGTTTGCTGGAAAAAAATGCTGCTAGGGAAGAGCTGTTCTTGTTTTGGTCTATCCCTGATGAAGTCTTTCACAGATGCTGCAGTGCCTGGTGAGCCCATAGTCTGTCCCAGCTGTTGCAGCGACCATGTGGTCATCCTGCCTTCGGAAATGTGTTCTAGTGCATCCCTGCCACCCGGTGGCGATGGCACGAGTGATGACCTCTCAGAATCTGTTCTGGATGGAGACAGCCAGCAAGAAGGCCCAGAGGAAGCGCCTGCCTTGACCAGTGAGTGTGGGAAGTTCTACATTGGTGGGGAGGACAGCTCTGAGGTGGACACCAGCAACAGCACCAGGACCCCGGAGCTCTGCGGCGAGTCCGATGGCACTCCCCATTCTAGTTTGGATGGGGCCTGTGGGAAGAAGGAGCCGAGCATGAAAAACCTGTTCTTCGGTCCCACTGACACCAGTGACGGCGGCTTGACGGGGAGCTACCGCTACAGTGTCTCTCATGGGCCCACTCCTTCCCAGCTGTCGCTGAATTCCGAGTCCGAGGACACCTGGAATCTCAGTCCTCGTGAGTATGTAGGCGCTGTGCGGGGTGGAGGGGTGCTGTGCACAGCCTGGAGGTGGGCGCTGTCTGCAAGGCCTGCTGCTTGATGCAGGACAAGGGGGCAGCAAGCACGAGCAGTGGCTGTGGTGCTTGTGAGCAGGGTGCTTCGGGCCCTTCTGTTCCTTCCTCAGGCCTGAAGGCAGGGAAAACTGAGTGCGCTGTTGCCCAGACTGTGAGCAGAGCAAGAGCTTGCCACCCAGTCACAGGCGTGCTGGGTTCCTGCGGTCCCCCTGAGATGCCAGCTGGAATGCTACCTTTGGAGAAAGCTACAAACAATAGTCCCTGTCTGTGTGGCTTAAATGCAGTGTGATCTTGGAGTGTCTGTTGAAGGCTCTGGTCCATGATCTGCAGCTCCTTGTGTTTGCTTCCATGGTCTTGGTGATGACTTGAGATGGCTAAACCTCTCCCAACGAAGGGCCTGTGTGCCCCTGGGAGGGGTGTTGTGAAGCCTGCAGTCAGGGTGAGGTATGCAAAGAGCTTTACGTGAAGGGTCTTGGATTTCTGTTGTGGCAGACTGTCTTTGCTTGTTCTTGGGCACATGGTTTATATCCTGAATTTGGAAAGGACCTCTGGATCCCATCTGCTCCAACCCCACAAGTGGCTTTTGTTGCAGGTGCTCTCTGGCCCTGATTTGAAACCTGCGAGACTGTTGTCTACAGAGGTCTCTCCCAGTCTGTCAGGGCAGCTGTGCCTCTGAAGAGGACTCAGAAGAGGACCAGTGTTTAGGACTGCCTAAACGTGTTCAGCCTCGAGTGCTCCCAGACCCGTACCGAGTAACGCAGGCCCTTGCTTTGCTGCAGATCCCAGCACGCCAGTTCAGAGAACTGAGGCCAGGAAAGAGTTCCTGTTGAGGACAGCCTGGTGGACGTAGTGTGGAGAACGGCTCCCTTCCTGGCTTGGCCGCAGGCTGCGCTGGTGACGTCACCATGGCCTCTGTGCCTCATTGGCCAGCGTCCAGGCAGGGCC